GAGTTCCTCTATTTTTTCATTTGTGCATGCCTTAATGTCTTTTATTTTGATAGTGGTTTGTTTTTGTACCTTAGAGATTATTTTTCCTGTGGCCTCTTCCATTTGTTCTTTCACATCTAATGCTATCATTTCAGAGAGTTTCATTTGTTGGCTTCCAATTTCCTCCATCTCTTTGTGTTCTGGACTTGTCCTAGCTGGGCTGGATGTTTGGGAATGTATTTTGTCACTGTCATTTTCTTTGTCTTGTCATTTTCTATTTCGTGCTTTATTTTGTTTTCTGTGTTGATGCTTTTAGCTAATCTTAGATAGCCTTAATCACTGATGTTGAGGCTATCCCAGACCCTTTGCAGCAAGCTATCTCCCTAGCCCTTTGTTGAGACTATGCTCTCACTAAGTTGCTAGCTGGGCTGAGCTCAAACTTGCATTCCTTTTGTTTCCACCATGTACTTCCTTTTTTCTTTGTAAAGACAAACTTCAGTTTTCCTCTGTGGCTTCATTTGGGAATGTACACTGTCATCATATGAGCATTTTCTCAACCTTTTTCAACTGAAATTAGACATTGGTATCTTAAAGAAAGACTAGAATTATTGAAAACAACATCAGCCATTACTGGAGTGAAGTTCAAGTTTCAATTGATTTATTAATCTCACTATATTCCTGTAACACATTTGAGGTAATCGCTATATTTTCTTTTGCCGTTTGAGACAGAATCTTGCTGTGCAGTTCAGGCTGGCCTTGAGCTCACTGTGTAGCCCAGGCTGGCCTCAAACTCGCAATGATCCTCTTGCCTCAGCTTCCAGAGTGCTGGGATGATAGGCCTAGCAGGTGATGGCTATGTACCGAGACTTCCTCCCTCCTAGTGAGCGCTGTGAAAGCTGCTCCAGCCAGCACTTTCTTAGTTACTTTTCTCTTGTTGCTGGGACAAAATGCCTGACACCCAAAGTTAAAGGGGGAAAAGTTTATTTAGCTCAGGTTTATTTAGTTTGTAGAAGTTTTAATCCATAATTAGCTGGCTCCGTGGCAGGGTGGTGTGACACAAGCAACTCAAGATTCAGCCACCTCTGAAGAGCCCGCCCCCATGACTGCATGAGGCTTTAGGGGGACATCCAGACACAGACCATAACAAGCACCCTGCTGCCACCTCCCTTTGCGCCTCACATCACGTTGTCAGAGCCTGCACCATTTTGCTGCAGCATCTATAAGTGACTTCCTCTTCCTTGGGTTGTTGCACTAGTGCAGTGGTGGTAAGCCTATGGCACACCTGTCACTGTATTTTTCTTTTAAGACAAAAGTGTTAATGTAGAGTAGTTATTTCTAAACTAAAACCTCAGCAATCAGGTTTAATTGCAGTGTTGGCACTTTGCGATAAACAAGTGGGTTTGGGGTGGCAGTTTGGCATTTGGTCTCTGTAAGGTTCACTATCACTGTGATAGATAGATAGTACCTGAGGCTGTCATCAACTGGGAGGGGGTTGAAATTCTTGTTGACTTGCAGGTGAGTATGTGTACCAGGAGATGATGTTAGGGAGAGTGTGCCACTGGAGATGTGGCGTGGCACTGAAACTGGAAGAGGTCACTTTGACATAGAGATTACAGGAGCTGTGGTCTAGGAAAAGAACCCTGAGGAACACTGATGTTTGAGGACGAAGAAGAGGAAAGAGTTGGGAAGGCTGTGTTGAGAAAACTGGGGAGTTAGAGGTGAAGGGACTTGGGCAATAAAAGGGCATTCACTTAACTGTGCTTTAAAGAGAGTAATAAATAAGAAGTGGATCTTTCTTTACCCCACTCTTCGAATAGATACTTTACCGTAGACTCTCAGCTTGGCTCCTTGCTGGCCAGTTCTGCTTTATCCCACCCCAAATCCACAGCCCCACTGACATCCCTAGCCTGAACCTAACACACAATCCAGAGTCCTTTCCGCTTCAGAGTAAGGTTAGAACAAATTCTGGATCCAATCCCAGAAATTCTGATTCTTTTACGGGCCCAGGCCCTTTCTGAATCTCAGGAACCCTAATATGTAAGTTCTATAAAACCTACATTTTATTTAATTGCAAGAGAGTGGGACTTTGTTATAGCAAACTTTAAAAATACTATTTGATGAACAGATTGGCAACCATGGAAATCTAGCTGGAACTTTTTGCTATGCCTGCGCTGGGGGTGGGAAGAGTATCACCAGCTGATCTAATCTTTTGGAGATTTAAGATGTTTTATTCTGTGGATTTTTGCGACACATGCCCCTGGTGCCCGGCATCATGTTCTCTTAAAATCTACCACTGATTTCAAGTAAAACTCAAAGTTTCTCAAAGGCCTGCCAGTATCTGTCTTCTGACTCAGGGCCTTCAAGCCCAGCAGGCGAGGGAGAGAGGTTAAGCACAGACAGCCTTCAACCAACAGGGGTCGCAAGCTAAGCACAGCCTCCTTCAGAGGCCCACACAATCACCACCACTTGCCAGCAGTTTCCTGAATGACAAATCCTTACTGGCTTTTCCCTTTCCCTAGACCTTTTCCTTCCCTAGGGCCCTCTTCTGCTGTTATCTTGAATACAAGTGTCAGCTGAGCTGACTACAGGTTAAATGCAAATGAAAGCCTTCCTTAATTAATGAGTTTCTTAAGGTCCTTGTCTGTCAGTAATAGCACCTAAAATAATGTGTGAGGGAAGACGCAAAGAGAACTTATTGTGCAGTACAAGACAGCACACATATTGCTAGAGTTTAATTCACGGACACTCTGATGAGTTCATTATGTGAGAATTTTTTTTCAACAACTTCCATTTTCTTTCATTTCACTTGTAAAGGTTATGAGAAACCGGAACGTGGTTGGCACAGAGAAACAGCACCTAATGTGCCTCTTTCATTCGTGTGTCATCTTGTTTAGGAATAATTCTGGATGATTCTTTTGGGGAGACTAAATTATACACTATGATAGAAAACTATTAAAAGTGCTACAGCACAAAAGGAAAAATCTCCACAGATGGTTAGGATGTAAATTGCCCAAGAACAAAAGGACCCTGGTAAGATCTATTTCAGGGAGTATCTTTTAATTTTTATTTATTTTGAGACAAGGTCTCACAATACAGCCCACGGGCTTGCCTGAAACACATGATCCTCCTACTTCAGCCTCCTGACTGTTGGGATTACAGATCTGTGCAATGATGCCTGGCTCGGGGGGAGGGGTTGTAATTATTTTTTCTTTTTTAATAGTAGCAAAATTTTATTAAAGGTAAGAAAAGAAATAGGCTCTGCAGAGCAAGTTTGGGCCAAGTAAAAGTAGGAAAAGAAGTACATCCTACTGTGTGTGAAGGTGTGAGGGTGACCACCACTTAAGAGAGAGCAGTGGTCCAGGGTTATCTTTTAAAAGAGACATAGTGTAGGTATGGCAGCACAGGCCTGTGATTCCACTACTTGGGAGGCTAAGGCAAGGAGGACTGCCTGTCTGAGGCTGCTGAGCCTACATAGTGTGTACTTTAAACGTAATTTCCCTCATCTGGCTAGAAGATAGCCATATTCATATCTCTCCTTTTAGCTAAGACTGCACTCTAGAATTAAAAGTTAATTGAAGGGTAAACTTCAACTGCAAAAGTAAACAGAAACACTGAAATGACACCCAGGATTTGGAGGCAGATTTATTTTTGTGAATGGTCACTGATAGGGATCATTCCCAAAATACCAGGCCCTGATCTTTGGTGATCTAGGGCTTATATGAGATAAACAAGCAAAATTACAGAGGCAGACTGGATTGTCAATTGGGGATTGGTTTATACAATGTGCATCATAGTGACCAGCTATGCATCACAATGACCAGCTGTTGCTGAGACAAGAGCAACCGGAACTGGAACAGGAACTATTACCTGGGCAACTAAGAAACTGAAGTATACTGGCTGGGAGGCAGCATTTTCTGTTACAGAACCAGACAGTCATTTTCATACCTGACAATTAACACTGGTGTCTGAAGAGAGTTCCATAAAGGCTGCCACGTTCTAGGCATTTAGTGCATGTTGTGCAGCAAATGGGAGCACGCTGAATCACTCAAGATATGTGCCTCAGACTATTATCTCAGTGAGCCAGAGTGCGAAGACTTCCTGCACTTAGACCTGCTGCACTCCCACCAGCCTGGTTGTAGATTTTATTTTAACCAGTGAGTTTACTGGCAAGAGACCAGCTATCTCTAGAAAACACTGTTCCTTCAATCCCATATGTTTAACGGTGACCTTTACATGATCATTAGTTACCTGTATTTCAACCTCCATTAATGTCTGAATTCAGACTCAGGGAGGAAGTGACCTGCCCAAGGTAAATTCTCCCCATCTAGTTAATCAGTGATGTGGCAGGGACTAGAGCACAGGTCTCTTGTGTAATCATCTTTCTGTTTCATTTCCAAAATGGCAGCCATTTCCACCCCTGTCTAAAAGAGAAAACAAGGCACTGTTTTTCTGAGCTGGTTCAAGTTGTGTTTTAGAATTAATAAAAATTACTGTGTTTGGTTTATGATATTTGCAGGAAATTTGCCAGTTAAGTGTTTATAAAAATAAGTGAAAAGTTGTAAATAGTTAGTCAACAGTATGGGAAGAGTTTATAGGAAGTAATACTGTATAATAACTTTGATGTGCTCCTTGTGATGAGCTAGAAAGATACACTGTTTAATAATCTGCTAGCCATTGTGGAGGATTATCTTATATTTCCTTTCTTCCATATCATACCTAATACTTAAGCCTTTGCAGTTAGTTCAAAGGATTAATTTTAAGTATAGGTTTTTAACCCAGTACTGGTTTCTGAAACTCATTAGTCAAAACTATTTTTTTTTTTTTTTTTTGGCCAGTATACCATTCAGAGTGGTTGTTTTGCTTTTTTAATAATTAATTTGTGTTAATAATTAGCTGAAATGAGAGTATTGGGAGTAACTAGCAGAAAATGTTTCTTTTACTTGCTAAAGCTATCTGAACGTAAAGGAAAGAAACATTTCTAAAAGAAATTTTCTCCATTATGTATTTCTGTCCTACAGGGCATCTGTTCTGTACCTACACCAGAACTGGATGCTTCAGCGGAAAGAGCGCCCTCTGGAAATCACAAGAACACTCTGAGAACTCCCATGAGCTTCCAAAGGGCTGTAAACGATGAAAAGGGCAAAGCTCGCTACGTGAAACCAGGTCTCTTTCCTTCATCCTTTGTCATCAAAGCATCATCTCGAAAACCGTTTGGGATCCTTTCTCCAAATGTTCTGTGCAATATGAGTGGGAAGAGTCCTGTAGAGAGCAGCTGGAATGTTAGAGCCAAAAAGAATGTCCCGGCTGCAACAATCCATCAGGGCGAAGGAGAAGGCCCACTTGATATCTGGGCTGTTGTGAAACCTGGAAATACCAAGGAGAAAATTGCATTCTTTGCAGCCCACCAGTGTAGCAGTAGGATAGGAGCTATGAAAATAAAAAGCACCTGGGATATTGATGGGAGAGCTATTAAAAGAAGGAAAAAATCAGGGGATCTTAAAAAAGCCAAGATACAGTTAGAAAATGTGAGGGAAGTCAGCAGCAGATGCTACCAGCCTGAGCCATTTGCCTGCGGCATTGAGCACTGTTCCGTGCATTACATGAATGACAGCGGGGATGGAGTCTACGCTGGGAGGCATCTGTCAGTTATACAGATGGTTGCCTTCCTCGAGCAAAGAGCCAGTGCTCTGCTAGCTAGCTGTGCGAAAAACTGCACCAACTCACCTGCCATTGGGAGGTTTTCTGGTCAATCCAGAGGGATGCCCCCAGCCCCTGAGCCCTTCTCTGACCCAGGAGTTTGTGAAGAACCCCCAGAAAGGGGAAATCCTGAGGTTGGAGAAACACAGAGTGAATCAGTCCGTGTCCTTGACATGGTAGCCAGGCTGGAGTCTGAGTGCCTGAAGAGGCAGAACCAGCGTGAACCTGGGAGCCTGTCACGAAATAACAGCTTCCGGCGCAATGTAGGCAGAGTGTTGCTTGCAAATGGCAGTCAGGCTGATGAAAGCAAAACGAAAAAAGATGCACTCGAGGCGCCTGACACTCAGGTGAGTCCTGTGCAGCCTGTCTCTCTGAACTGTGGCCCTGCGAGTGCAGATCATTGTTCCCCTGTAGGGGACTGGGCCTGGAACAGCGCCCCTCAGGACCGTTCCTCACTCCAAGCAAGTGTGAATTTCTGCACAGGCAGTGTAGAATCAGAGCTAGGTCAGCAAACTGCCACAAAAACCAGCGACAGGCATGATGTGGAAATGGCAGATGAACTTGATGGATTACCTTTTTCTTCTCACACCTGTTCTCGAGCCACTGAATTGCCCACGGATGCTATTGTTTGTATGAGTACAGAGCTTCTGCCACTCACTAATCAAAAGCCTGATCAGAGGAAAATTGAATCTTTGTGCATTAGCGTCACTGTGTCCAAGGCAGAAGAAGGCCAGTCTTCTAACGTAAGCTCCCATGAAGAACCTCTTCCAGGGATGTTGTTCTTCCTGCCACCTGGTCAGCATCAGTTGGCCTGTCCCCAGTTGAATGAGAGCACAGCTCCAGAGTACTCAAAGGATAGCCCGCATGAAGGCACTGCCGAGGAGGACGGTGCTGAGAAGAGCGGTGTTTCTGCCAAGCCACGTACACTCCCACCCTCTGCAGTAGAAAGCACATTGCCAGTGCTTGAAGCATCCACTTGGAAGAAGCAGGTGTCTCATGACTTTTTAGAGACCAGGTTTAAAATCCAACAGCTTCTGGAGCCTCAGCAGTACATGGCATGTCTGCCCCACCATATTATGGTGAAAATTTTCAGGTTACTTCCCACCAGGAGTTTGGTGGCTCTTAAATGTACCTGCTGCTATTTCAAGTTTATCATTGAATACTACAACATCAGGCCAGCAGATTCACGTTGGGTTCGAGACCCACGCTATAGAGAGGATCCCTGCAAGCAGTGCAAGAAAAAATATGTGAAAGGAGATGTGTCCCTATGCCGGTGGCACCCCAAGCCCTATTGCCAAGCACTGCCCTATGGGCCTGGATACTGGATGTGCTGCCACCGGTCTCAGAAGGGTTTTCCTGGCTGTAAGCTAGGTCTTCATGACAATCACTGGGTCCCTGCGTGTCACAGCTTTAACCGGGCAGTGCATAAGAAAGCCAGAGGGAGTGAAACTGAAGAGGAATACTAAAGGCCAGGTGAGAGACAACCACAAAACACCTAGGTAAACAGTGTTCTCTTTCAGTCGTCGTAGAGCACCTGCACCTGTTCCATCAGGACTGCTATTGCTTGAGCATTTTTTAAATTCTTCATTTACCGGCTCTACAAGAAGACTGGTGTGATTTTACAGGAAACCCTCACACTTGATCCAAGGTGTAACTATGCCTGTTTTTCTCTGTCCTCGAAGGATGAAGACTTGGCACCATCGGGGACATTCAGAGCTCACTGCAGGTTCTGCTGGCAGTCCCCAGGTAGGGCTTCCAGGAATGTTTCTAGCACTGGCACCATATTTGACATGAGTAAATGCTGCCCTGTGAGAAGAACAGCAAGGCCCTGGATGAAAAGTGTACCTAAAAGGAGAAGTCGGGCACCTCACCTTAGACCTCGTATGCTTGATCTTGTGAGACTGGTGTTTGTGGGTGGAGATGGATTTCATGCCCTGTGGTGTTTACAGTGTACATAATGGTTGTGTTTTCATAGGGCTGTGAAAGTGCACATTAAACCTGAGCGCCTTTACTTTTAATGAGTGCTTTGGCCCCTCTGTATATAACACAATTAAAATCCCGTTGTAGATGATGGACAACATAAACAACATAGGCATCACAATGCAGCTAGGGTAGTGTTGCAGCTATAATTGTGTTTCATTGTCTCAAAATTTGTACATCTTGTATAAAATATGAATGTTTCCAAATAAACTATGAATGTTTTCTGTATAATATATGAATGTTTCTGAGAAGAAACTAAATAGGTAAGATGTTAACCTGTTCAAAGGATACCAAATAATGGCTTAACTGGACAACCTTAAAATTAGCCTAGAGAATCATCCTTCCTTATATTTTAGTGATCCACCAAGAATGAGAGAGGATTATTATATAGTTAGATTATACTGTCTTGTCTATTTTATCATTTCTGTCTGGTTACAGATTTTTTTTTTTTTCAAACTTCAATAAAAACTTAAAATTGGACCTGAGTTTTAAAAAGATTTCTTTTCTTGGGTTTAATGTTTGTGAATTGAGTTGTAAAGAGATTTTTTTTTTTCTTTTTGAGGAGGAGAAGATAAAGTATGTTTTTCTATCCCAGGACATTATATCCTGCAGTCCTTCAGTATCTGGGTTTGTTTCTCCTTACCACTTACTATATCTGCTCTTGGGTAAGGTGTTGTCTTTTCCTTACAAGTTGCCCAGGCATAATCATTCTGAAGTCATTAAAGATCTCTTCATGGCTGGGGCTGTGTCATAGGTGGTGGGGCTGAGCCCCAGGAAGCTATCCTGGATCTGAAACAGAAACCTTGCCAGCAGTGTGGGGCGAAGCTGCGCAGACCAGCTGGTAGATGTTCAAGTGGGGAGGATGAGAGAGGGTTGCGATGGTCCTGAAGGAAAAGGCTTAAAGTTGGCAGGACTGCCAAACAGGGCAGGGCAGGGCAGGGCCAGATGGAGGTGGAGCCAGACTTACCTGTGGCTGAGGCAAGAGGGAGTGCAGGATGGTTTCCAGACTGGAATCTGTTTGGACTTTTCTTTCTTTATCCCTAGCACTAACTCCTCCCTGCCTCAAATGATGCACTAGCTGGGCGGAGTAGCATGCACCTATAATCCCAGTTGTTTGGGAAGCTGAGGCAGGATAACAAGTTTGAGACCAGTCTGGACAGTTTAGTGAGTTTCTGCCTCAAAGTTAAAAGGAAATCTGGAGGGCTATCGCTCGACGATAGAGTGCTCGCTTAGCATTGTAAGGCCCTGGGTTCATCCCCAGCACCACAGAAGGGAGCACACTAAAGCTGAGAACGGTGTCTGTCTTGAGGCCCAGTAAGTCTTCCCCAGAGAGCCACACTGCTCGGCCGGCCTGATCAAGAGGGGGCTGAGAACAGTTTGTTTTGCCTTCAAGAGAGCTGTGGTTTTCCTTGGGACACCAGCTGAGCTGTGTGGAAAAGGCCTCTGTACTGGAGTGGACAGTGCTGGTCTTACTTCCCTTGGGTTTGCTCTAAATTGGCAGTCTCAGTGATCCCTATCATTTGGGATTAAAGGAGATCATACACATAAAGGACTTAGAGCTCCGCCAGTGTGTGCAGTGCCCAGTAAATGTCAACTGTCAATGTTGCTGTCTGAGATTCTCCATCTGCGCTGTAGATGCACAGGCAGACAAGTCCATCAGCTTTCACAAGTCAGCCATTCCTGATGTGGTCGCGCGCGTGTGTGTGTGTCTGTCTGTCTGTCTGTCTGTGTCTGTCTGCACTGACCAAGGGCAGAGGGCACAGTATGAACGCCTAGCCTCTCCTGGCATGCAGTACTTGGAGCCCTTAGAAATTGTCAAGTGCCCTGTTTTGAACTGTGGTAGAACTTGGTTCCCAGTGCTGTCTGCATGCATGACAGAAGCTTTTAGTGACTGGACATTAAAGGACATACACTCGTCTCTAGCTCTGTGTTTGTGTATATGTTTTCAGACAGTTCCACTGTAGTTTAGGCTGGTCTTGAACTCCCATCTCTCCTGGCTTAGCCTCCTGAATGCTGAGATTATAGGTGTGCACGCCCCCTGGCTGGTGGTCTTTATTTCTAGGCAAGTGTAACTGACCCCTCCTTCTTTGGGGGCCCCCTATTGCCAAGCTGATGAAAACAACCTTGCCATCATAGATTTAAGAATAGGAAACCGTGGAGTTCAAAGTTCCTGGTCTCTCCCTACTCATACCAAAGAAAGAAAATCTCCCCCTTTTGGCATCAGCTCAGAAGCTGATACTAGACCTGACCCAGTGTCTTCTCCCCTCACTTGATTATTTGAAAGAAAAGCCAGGAGTCAGCTCCCATTCCCATCTCTGCCCAGCAGATAAGACCAAAAACAAACCAACCGAGTGTGGTGACATACAGCTGTAATCCCAGCACTCAGAAGGCTGAGGCAGGAGGATCACCATGAGACCCAGGGCAGCCTGAACTACATAGCAAGACCTGTCTCAAGAAAACAACAAAAAGACTGTGGACAAAAGGAGTGCCCTGGAAAGGGACTACAGGCTGAGCTAGAACTAAATGGTGAAATGTGCTTTCTCAGGCCTTGTCAAAATGACTTGGCAGGCACGCCTCCTGTGGAAACCTAGCCCTTGCCCTCCGCTGCGTGAGGCCACGCACAGGGAGTCAGCACTGCCTCCGTGCCACTGCGGTGCTGCTCTCCCCACCATACTCTGCACTCGGGACAGCCGGGAGTCGCGCCACCATCGGGGTCTTGCCTACAGTGCTGGCACCCTTACAGGTGCCCATCTTGATGGAAAGGGTGCTGGCAAAACCCCTTTGGCCCGGCCTGGCCATGTCATAATTGAGGAGGAGAAACCTGTCATTGGGGTAGGGATCTTGGAAGGTTATTTTTTCTGGCCACTGAGGGTCACATGGAAGGATTCTTTTCTAGGGATATGAATGTCTCATGTAGTTCAGGATGGCACCAAACTCATGGTTTATTCTGCCGCAGCCTCCTAAGTGGTAGGATTACAGGCATGCCTAGCTGGGACATTCCTTTAGTAGCCGAAAGGCAGGAGGGTGCGCTGTAAATTTTTATTTATTTATTTACTTATTTATGGTACCGGGAATCAAACGCTGGACTCTGCACTTATCAGGCAGGTGCTTGTGCCACTGATCTATATCCCTTCCCCCCGCCTTTTTGTTCTATGCATTTGCTATAATTGAGACTCCGTTGTTGCCAGCGGCACCCAGCAGCAGGAATGGTTATGGCATTACCTAGAAGGGTGATGACAAACCTTTTAGAGACAAACGCCCAAACTGCAACCCAAAACCCACTTACTTATCACAAAGTGCCAACATTGCATTAAACCCGAATACTAAGGTTTTAGTTTAGAACAAACTCCTATATTAACATCTTTTGTCTTCAACAGTACGTGTGCTATAGGTTTACCACCATTGACATAAGGATTCTCTTCTGGGCTTTGTCCAGTCACCACCTGTAGCCTACCAGTGCCTCCCTGCCAACCTTCGCAGACTGACCTTGGACAGCTATTCTGTGCACATTCCTAAGCATTTTGTTTGCATGGCTCCAATTGTTGCCATTGCTTCTTTACTCAGCAGCTTGGCTATTAGTCTTCCTTCATCCACAGCCAGCTTCACTAACATCACAAAGTCAGTCTGCACTGCATCTTTCCCTGTCTGTGGTATACAGACCACCCAGTAGGAGCAGTTGGTGTTACCTGGCTGTGTATATCAGTGTTGTGTTTCAGTATGTCCTTTACAATGCAGTGTCAGGCACTTGTGGACTCATAGGTTCAGCTGTTTTTCCTTTGGGTTCAAGTAAGCTAGTGTTATAATCTCCTATGAGTTAGTGAAAATACCTGTGTGGGCAATGTGTAGGCCCTTCTACCGACAGGCATGTCATTCTTAAGGTTGTGGCCATAGCTGATATTTATATAAACTCATGGGAAAAGCAAGTATTGTGGTCATACAGCCTTGGGTGACCTTCACTGTATTTATACCAAACTGGTTTAAGCAAAAGCACAGTGAAGCAGCACGTCTACCCAAAGTGATCTGGCCTTGCATTATTTGAGGGTGCAGAGCCACTACAGTTGAGAGCTGGGAAGGGAGAAAACTGGAATGGGAACAGATATGGGAGTGTCCCATAGGCTACAACAACCCTTAAGGGATGGGGCCACGCCCTTTAAAAAGCAAGTCGGAGCCTCCCTCCTTTATTCAACAGCTTGGCTGTTAGTTTTCCTTCATCCACAGCCAACTTCATTAACATCATAAAGTCAGTCTGCACAGCATCTTTCCCTGTCCATGGTGTACAGATCACCCAGTAGGAACAGTTGGTGTTACCTGGCTGTGTAGGCAATAGCCTCATCCCCTAATTAATACAGAATAGACCTCAGAACAACTCTATTTTGGGACCTTGTATCTAGAATTATTTTTGAATTAAATTGGGCTTATTAAAGAAGTGAAAAATGAGAAGACAACGTTTTTATTTTTGGAGTGATAAAATGGTAGGATTAAGTTCTCAAATTAGCATTTGGGGAAAATGGCATACAGCTGAAATTACTCTTGAAAATCCAATGTCTACCACCCAGCAACAGACAGACATACACAGTGCACAGTAGCATGGAGCACAGTAGCCGTGTGAGATAAACTATGCAGGCTGAGTGGAGACACCAGACTTGAGAACTGACCTTGGACAGCTGTTCTGTCCAAGACAGAACTGTAGGGTCTGTCTCCCTACTAAGGGTGGCAGAATCAGTCCCCTGCCCCGCAACTGCACTAAAACAGGAAATAAAAAATTTGACTTATGAGCTGGTAGTGAAGTCCCCAGTGTCTAAGAATTAGTAGGAAGAGGTTCATAAAGTTCCTGAAATTAAAAAAAAGAATCAGATGCCACATGATCAATAAAATGGAAATGTTTTCTTGTACCTGTCCCTTCCCCTGTGAAGTTAGATGGCTGTGTGCGTGACTGAGCGCAGGCTGCTGGGGACAGAGCTATACCTAGGTCACCCGACCTTCCCTGTTGTGGGACAGAGCTGCGGGCTTCCTCACCAGCTGCCCCATGTGGCGTGGGTCTATGCAGACCGTGTGTTCTCCATCAGTTCCTCTACCACAGCCCACACTCCTCCTAAGCAGAGTGGCTTGGCTGTCCCATCCGGAACTGAGACCTCTCATGTTGAACTCTCCGACAGTCTTGGCTTCATGCCCTGGAACGTCTTTCCTCTAAGCAGGGTCTGTGTGGAAATCATGACCAAATTCAAGGGCTCCTTCTAAAGGTGCAGCTATAGGGATAAGTCATGCCCAGTGCCAGAACACAGTTGAAGGCTTGCCCTAGAGCTGTTAATTCACACTCGCACGCACACATGCACGCGGGCTTCCAACGTGTAGGCAGGATTAAGAATCACTATGTGCAGCAGAACCATGGGGCAAGTACAGTAGTGGGGCTGAGGGGGCCTAGGTCCTGGAGGAGGAGGCCAGTCACTGGGACATGAAGGAGAGAGCAAAGCAGCCAGGGACAGAACAGCCTGACCATCAAAATTCATGGCCCTAACTGACAGAGGTTCCCACCCTCTGGCATTGAGCAGGGTAAAGAAGTGGAGAAAATGCACCTCCAGGGGCAAAGGGGAAATGACCCTCCAAAGCTTGGGTGGGAAATGCCAGAGGTGCAGTCACTGTTTTATATCAAAATAAGCGTTACCTCAGCTTTTCCCCAGCTCCCCAGGAGGCACTGCAAACTTCCCTTCTCTGTGCCTGGAAAGATGTTTCCTAAACCTCGATGCTCCCCTAGGAGGCCCTTTGTGCCCTGGGCAGTGCCGCTGGCCCTGGATAGAAGCCATGCAGCCTGAGGAGGGCTGCAGATGCAGGGAACTTTTGAGCTAAAATCATCTAGTGCACTGTAAGATGTGCTGTAAAAAATGTACATCAGACAGCCACTTTTCAACACCAATGTTTAAGTAATACTTAGGGATAATTAAAATATAATTCCATCTGTTTATTACCTTTTTGACAAGACTACCAAAAAACTCAAAATCACACGTGTGGGTTACATTATTTCCATTTGACAGTGCGCCTCGGGGTCAGTATTCTTTAAATGTAAATGAATTGTAGAAAGATTTAGCTTTAGTGAGTGAGAAGGCCTCAAAGATCCTGTGTCTCTAACAAGCTCACAAGTGGCCGGACCCAACCAAGAGCGCACACATGGAAGTGAGGGTCTTTGGTGGTGATGCTGCAGCAGTTCTAGGGGAAGTGAGGGTCTTTGGCGTGGTGATGCTGCAGCAGTTCTAGGAGGTCTCGGCAGGGTTTCGCCCAAAAACCATCAAGCAGGTAGCAGGATGACCTTAAGCCAGGAACAGTGGCCCCTAACCTGAAAACAGGTATTTCCCCTATGGACACTAAACACAGTGCCCCCGCCAACTGAGAAGGAAACTGCTCATCACATGCTTTGTTCCTATCTGTGTATAATAACCCACAGACCGCAGGGGTCATCCATCTCCCACTTACACAGCACTGAGCACTAACACTGTATCCTGCACAAATGTCTCCCTTGCACTTATTTTTAAACTTAAATAGTCTGCTAGAAGCCAAGCAAAGTGGTGCACAAGCACTCGGGAGCTGAGACAGGAGGATCAGCAGAGCAATTTAGTGATTAGAGATCCCTGCCCCCCAAAACAAGCCAGGACATGTAGACATGTAGTTTAGTGTGAGGGCCCTGGGTCTGGGCCCTGGGTTCAGTCCCCTGTATGTATAAATAAAATTAAAAATCCTGCTAAAAAGGGTAGAAAAGGGCTGTCCTAAAATCCAAGTGTCTTAAGCTGTACAGCATCACTCCAGGTGGGAATAAGGAGCAGTGACCTGGATGTGGAGGAGGACACCACAGCCATGGTATTGCCCTCTGCGGCCCAGAGGACTTGCAGCTGGCGCTCACCTGTCCTCATCACCTGCCCAACCCCCTCACGTACCTCCTGGGAATTGCACTTTAAAGGGTGCAGCTGCTCTAAGTTGCCCATCCCATTTCCCCCATGACCCTCAGAATACCCTTTCCCTTCCTACAGAAGGCACAACAAAGTCACTGATGTAGCTCTTGTTACTATTTTACCATCTTTGAGAAAAATCTGCCCCACTAATTGTGGTGTATAACTGTAAGCAATTTGTGAACCCCTTTTCCAGGGTAACTTCCCGCTAAACTCCTGGGATGAGGGTAGAGGTGTTCTCACTGAGTTTCATAGGCTGAATGGCAGACAGCTCACCTAAGAGCCCAGTTTCAATTTCCTCACACACTGTCATGAAACAACTTTGAAATGACCCCAACCACTGACAAAGTTACCCTTCCTTCTTAGCATCTGCTTCAGTCGGATTATTGCACTATACGATGGTGCCCTGGTGCCAGAGAAGCTCCCTTTATACACTAGATGGAAGCCTGGTAACTAGAGAATGAAGCCATGCCCTGTCTGAGATTTCCTTTTCTGTGTCCCTCAGGTTGCTTGCTGGCCTTCTCCACGTAAAGGGGGAGAAGGATAGGGCAACAGCTCTTCACTGTTTCTTGTCGGCTGCTCCATGGCTGTCACTTACCCCTTCCACATAAACCTCAGATGTACTGACGATCCGTCTAGGGGAGCTTTGTTACCCCAACACTGCTTGGTCCTCTATTTTCTCTCGTCCTGAACAAAGTCTGGGCAGATTTCCATGTGAGCACCAGAAGCCCAGGACTCTGCTGCCATACTGTGGCTCCCAAAGAGAAATTATCTTTGGAGAAAGTATGTAACTGGTAAGCAACCAGCTTCTCAGCTTGCCAAAGACAAATGATGACTATTAATACCACCATAATTTATAATTTAAAAAATATATCAACAGGCTTTGTTTTCGTACCTGGCAAAAAATTCTAAAAATTGTATAATCTATGTAAAGGACTCCAAGGCTAGCTCTCATTCTTGCTGCTCTCATTGTAGCAGCAGAAAAAGTTTAAACAAGACTATTAGCAAAGCACTGTTAAAAGATTTATTTGCAGTAATACAAATAAAAGTTAGAAAACATTTGTATGACTCAAACTGGTTTGGAAGTCGCACAGCAAATGGAAATTCCTGCAACGCGGGAGCACTGCAGTTCTCTTTAAGAGCATTAACAGCATGACACTGAGTACACTTCCCAAATCACACCTGAGCCCTTACATGAGTCCTGTCCTCGATATCCGATGTGACACAGTTTTTTCCCCTTAACTTACAGATGTGCAAAACTTTTGTTATATTCCATTACAAAAATGTCTCTCATAAGACTAAAGCAGCTATTTGGTGGCTGTGGGTTTTTATTCATATTACCTTGTTTCAATAATCATTTTAAAATACAAACATGACAAGTTCTATGGCTTTTCATTTAAAAAAAAAAAAAACCAGCTTAAATTTCTTAAAAAGCTGCTTACATATTGTTCTGGCACCTACATAAAAGAGTTTAATGAGCAGCAAAAAGAGTAGAAAAAACAGTGGTTGAAATGTATTACTCAAAAATATTTACAGAATAGATCCAGTGCAAAATAATGAACCAAAAATATTTCAGCAGTGTAAGCCAATATGTTGGTGTTCAAACCCGTTAAAGGGTTTGGTCACTTAGCCCAATGTAAAGTGCCTCTAGTTGATACTAACAACAAAATATACCCTTCTCAGTCCCTAAATCTCCCACATCCTTGTTTTATTGAGTATTCTAGCCATGAGTTGGTGATCTCTATTCTTTAGCTTCACTTCACATTTATGATTTCTAAATTCATTTGGTATTTGTTCATTTTACCACTTCTACTTTATGGATTCCACAGCTGGTTGGTAAAATGCAAGCCCAACCATCACCAAGCTGAGCACTTTCAAAAAACAGATGGGCTGTATATCACCCAAGTGGGGAAAGCCTGTCTCCTCCCTTAGAAAATTTAGAGCCAAGGGAACCTGGAATTCCTGGGTAGGAATAAACTCCCTTCTCACAACTCTACCCAAAACTTGACGGAACACAAAATACACCAATAGCCTTTGGGCTATTACATAGCACCTCGAGTTTGGAGGCAAGTCCCAACTGTAATAATTACAATGAGAAAAGAAGCTAGGGCGTGGCAAACCTCTGAATGATTTATCTGAGGTACTACATGCTAATCACACTAACATATACTAATAATGCCTATTAAGAATTTCTCATAGGATTTCCTTTTGTAATTATTACATAGGATTTTTGCAGTTATTCAAAATAAAAAACTACATATTTGTACATAATGCCTCTTATTATAGTTTTAAGATTGTCACTAAGAAAATGGCAAGCCATGGTAGCTGAAACTGCTTTCCTAGTGAGGGAAAATTCTTTACTTGTGAGCCTTCCCCTAGACAGAGCAGCGCGAGCCAGTAGGGTCTGCTGGGCCTCCTGACCAAGGTCCGCCTCCACAGTGACAGGGCCTTAGCAGGAACACAAGCAGGACCACCTTCCTGAGAACACTTGTACCTACGGTATCCCTCAGGAAATGGAACATTCAGAAACGATACCTAGCTAGGTGGCACCTGTGTCCAGGCAGGCATTTAGCTCACTCAAGGAATGACCTTTATGACTTTTTTTTTGGAGACAGGGTCTAACTATGCAGTTCAGGCTCCCCTTCAACTCACTAGGTAGCCCAGGATGGCCTTAAACTCACAGCAATCCTCTTGCCTCAGCCCCCGAGTGCTGGGATCACAGGCTTGTGCCACCACGCCCGGCTTCTATAACTTATTTGCACTCATAAAAAATAAATTCCATTCAAAATGGACACAGAGTAAATGGTAGGATTCAATAAACTAGGTAAGAGTTATGCGCTTAGCTCCCCACAAAATACAAGAAAATAAACATCTCTGAGACATTACTGCAGCTAGGATTTCTTCCGTTCACTGTGTGTATCCTCAGATAAACAGACCTTAGCTTCTTTGGTGTGTGCGGGCACTGGGGAGAAACCCAGGAAGGTGATGAGTTACAACAGAGCAGCACAAGTGAAATGAGTTTTAAATTACTGTTTCCCTCAGAAAACGAGCCCCTCCCAAACACAACTCAATTCCTTATTCTAAAAACCAAATAAATGAAAATTTTCAAATTGCCTGTTGGTTTTCTACAAAAAAAGACAGCAGAAAAACGGTTACTGTCTTAAATCATCAAGAATCACTTCCTTGTGATTCATCCAACCTCTGTAACTTAGTTTCAGCATCACTAAGATGACACCGATCCGGGTCTGCGGGGCCTGGGAGCCACCACAGCCCAGGGGCATCTCCCTAACAGACCTGACCCCGTGCAGCCCCTTCCGCCAGTGCTGGTGCAGGCAGAAGCCCCTTCACACCCTCCGCTCTACTACCATAAGCACATGGATCAAAATCATAGCCACCCAACTCGCAAAACTGCTCATCTCTCTGCTGCAAACAACAGTCTTTCTTGTTCCGAGTGCTATCTTAACTAAACAGACAAGGTTTACTAGGGAGAGCTCTCAGGATGAGATCTGGCCCATGTCCATTAACGGTGTCCAGTGTAAGCTTTGAACCAGGAGGTCACAGAGGCTGCAGCAGAGGAAATCATCCCTCCTGCACTGCTGCTTGCGATGGGGGGAGACACCTGGGTGCTCCGGCTCTGGGAAATTTCCACAGGCTGGGAGGGGATGTCACAAAACCGGGGGCTTGGCAGGTTCTCCCAGTCTGTGCCCAAGTCAGTTTCTTCATCGCTTATGTGCTCGTCTCCACTCTCATCTGATTCTCCAGCGACTCCAGGATCTACGAATTCCATGGACTCCTCAAGATCCGCTCGCACTTCAAAGGGTCCAGACCTGTGTGCAGAAAGCGAGGAGCCGCTTACAAAGAAGCACTGTTCCCCAGCCTGAGGTCAGATGCTGCCTTCCCTAAGGCCCTGCCTCACGGGACAGAAAGACCCACAGCCATTCCCACACACCATTTTCAAAGTTTCCACTGCACTCCCTGTTGCTCAAGAGTTGAGGTTTTCTTTAACAACTGCCACCCAAGTCAGGAATAAAATAATAATGTCACACTTCTAAATTGAGAGCCGCTGAAGCTGGAAAATAATTACAAGGGCAGGATGAAGCCAGCCTGAGAACACCGGAGCTCCTCGAAGTGAACACGCCCCTCGGAGTAAACAAGCCTTTCTAACTTGTTAACTGGTTGCTGGGCAGCGAGACAAAAAATTAGCCAACCTCTCCAGGGCATAAATACACACTCTACTGTTTTGGGGCAGGCCTCTTGCTCATCAGGTAAGAGGTAACACCACCTGACCCCAGCTCTTGTCTCTTGTCTTTATTTTTCTCATACCCACCGCCGTGTCTCTCCATGGTGCAACGAGTGACCAAGGAGGTTCCCTACATCTGGCGCCTGCCTGCACAGGGACCTGGTGAGAGATGGTAAGTGGGCAATGGGTACGCTTGCCCAGAGCACGCAACGGAAGGGGGAAGCGCATTTGTAAAGCTAGTATTCAGCACTGGCATGCATGGTACACTGGCACATCAGGCGTAAAGCATGGGGATATATGTTCTCTACGGCTAGAAGATACACAGGCTTCTAAGAAGCCAAAAGACAAAGGGATATTGCACAAGTAGAGGTATAGGTCTGGAGAGTGTTTGTTGCATGTTTGACTCCTGTATTTAATTTTCCGGATGTTGGTTTGGAGGGGTGTTGTAATCATAAGGGATTTGGCTCAGAACCTTATGTTAAAATCAAGTCCGGGGCCTAAGCAGGACATAGAGGGTGGAGAAACGGCTCTGCCAATAAAGCCTGAGCGCTCCAGCCCGGTCCAACTTAAGAAGGAAGGAGTGGTGGGTGACAAAAGGGACTCTTCATCACCAGAGAGGTGTTTTCCTGTGAAGTCTTATCACACAACACTCGATGGAACTGACAGCCACAGGCGGCTATCCCGGCCTTTTCTGCTCAGAGAAATTTTGCTGTGTCACAGGTTGGAACTTCCGCCTCTCAGAAGTAAAGCCATTTTCTCTGTCTCCCTTGCAATTAGCATTAAAAGAAGCCAGACGGGCAGGGGAGCCCATGGAGGGTTTTCAGCATATCTACCCTGTTACTGAAGTTGAAGGTCCCGAAAATCCAGGACAAGTTATACGTTGTTATGAAGCTATACCTTTCAAAACTTTAAAAGACTTAAAACAAGTGGTTGCTACTTACGGCCCTACTGCTCCCTTTACCTTGAGTTTTTTGGAAATTCTAGGACAACAGATTATGGCCCCAAATGACTGGAAAGGAATAGCTGAAGCATGTTTAAGTCCAGGAGACTATCTGATGTGGAAAGGAAACTTCCTTGGGTACTGCACTGACCAGGCCGCAAGGAATGCTATTCACAACATAACCATTACAAAAGATATGCTAATTGGGGAAGGTGCCT